AAATAATTGGAATTTTAAATGCTTTCTATTTATGCCTAAGCCTTGAAGGAAATATCCCTCCATCACCCTAAATCTGAGATTAATTCTCAGATTTAGTCATTAATTACAATTCATTGTGTGGTCCACCTTCATTGAATGTGGACACAATTCCCCCCCTCTCTCTCATGGCCGGCCCACTCCTCATTAATTCCCCTTAATTTTTTCCTCAATCAATCAGCATTCAAGTCCCTAAATCATGCTTAATTGAAAATTCAAATTAGGATTGATTTAAACTATTCCTATTTGAAAATTATTGAGGCGGCAAGCAATCAAATCATTCCGTTGTTCCCTCCTTCCCTCATGCATCGGCCTGCTCCTACCTCCCCTCTCTCTAACCGCCCACCTCCCTCAAAATTAATTCTAGAGAAGGAGAAAACCGCAAGGGAACTCTCAATCCCTTACACCACTTCCTTTCCTCCAATTGATCACATAAGCTTGATATTTTTCTAAGCGGGATTGCTGCCCAGAAATCCTAAGAGTTGGAGAACTGCTGTCCAACAGATTTCTGCACCCCCATACCAGCTGGTCAGCCCCATAATTCGATCAAGTGCTGTTCAGACTCCTTTGGCTGCTGTTTTGTGTACCAAGCACCTGAAACATGATGTTTAGAAGATCCGGAGCGCGTAATTGCTGTCCAAGAAGACCTCCAAACTGCTGTCCATGCTCTCAGAGTTGCTTCCCAAAGGATTCTGCACCTTTTCTTTGCTGCCCCGCCAATTGGAAATGTCCCCGGCTGCTGTCCAAGGCCTGCAGTTTGCCAAAATGCTGTCCCCAGCCAGCTAGGAGGATTGTACTGCTGTCCATTCATTTTCAAAGCACCCAAACGACCACGTCGGAGCTCCGTACTTGTCTTACCTTGTCATCCTTGCATTTTCATTCTACATCACATACATTGATAAAATTATATGAAGACTCAAAAATGAAAAATAAATTATAATTTATATTCCTACGACAAACTTCTTTTATAGCACCATTTCTTAGTATTTACAAAACATGTTCTTTCTTTGTGTGCTTGGTAGACACAGAATACCTCCATATGCAGGGTTGATCGTGGGAGGCTGCCTAATTTACAATAAATCATGCTTGCAAAGAAACTCAAACAGAACAATCAAAATGATTTTCTAGAATATGCATGCAACATAAATGATAAAATGGACAATTACAAATTGCAAAATAAGAATAAAATGAAAATTATAAAAAATGAAGTGAGAAATAGGTGATAATAATTGAACATGAATAATGACAAACTTGAAAGCTTGCTTTTGAGCATAGAATTTCTTGCCTACACTATAACGAATGCTCCGACAAACTTCTTGATTGCACTTAAAGCATTGTAATCATTTCAAATTCACTAATACTTTTTTAAATTAAACTTGTCGTCATGTGCTCCAACGAATATGCTTAATGCTTGGATTTAATATTTGAGAATATTGCGTAAATTAAAAATAATATGAATATGAAATTTGTTGCCTTAGAAGTGTGCAATCATCTTGAAAAGCATTCAATAATTTCTTAAACTCACCAACGCTTTCTTTCAAAGTGAAGTTCAGCAGTAGCATGCTCTCAAACAGGCCACACTATTTATAGGGTAGGATCATAAGGCCCACATTTAAAGTTTGATCTTCCTCTTTGCATGGACGAGAGTCGATAAGATTTGAACCTCATGACAGATGTTTATAGATCAAATATAAAATCTATGAAGATATTTATTTTATGTTCATATTAGGCCTACAATATTTTTTTACGAAGAGTATTCATTACAAAATGCAAACTCTCTGGATCTCCACTTATATGGTACCTCATGAAGTTAATCCTTGAACATGATCATCTATGAACAAGCATGCAGATTTGACAAGATTCAAGTATCCTGATGATGGCAATATTGAAAATAATACAATCAGATGGGACTATATTTCTTAAAATTCCTCTATATTTCAAAGTTAATCATTTGGGGATTAAATCCTGATAAAATTTTTAAAACATATGATATTTACAAAATCCAAAATATTTGTGATGAAATTCACGTCATAGAACTTAAAGTAAAATCTATCCACTATCCATAACAATTTGACAAGGGTGTTAAATTTAAGATTAACATATTCTCACAAAGTGTTAATGTCATTGTTAAGTGTATCATTATGATCACTCTCAAAAGATCTCACTATAGTAAAGACGTGGCATGGTGTATTCTAACTAGGTGGTTTTGCTATTAAATGACACCACTAAATATTGGTTGAGATCACCACTCCCTTACTGGGTGATTTTGTTGAAAATGACATCATTAAATTGTGGTCATGGTCAAAACCAGAATGTTCTACAATGACTCCAAGTCCACTAAGTGATGAATCATGTCATACACTTGATAGGGTATAGGGCTTTCTATCAGCTCAATTTGACTTAACGTTGCTACCTTAAAAAAATTCTACCCCAATTCTACGAGATCCCCTTCGACAACACAACCCCTAGCTTTCGGCATGGATCTTTTAATGAAGTTGGGTTTAATACATCTGCAGCTCTGCTGACTAAATAAACCACGGATAATGACAACCTAGGAAGATGGATCCTTGGGATCTTGATAAGGTTTGCAATCATTTTTCCATCATCCGCTTTAGGATGGTGATGATAAATTACCTTCAACCTTAAGACCAATCTGTAATTACTGTACACTAAGTGTTTAGCATTTATCTAATGAATGGTCTTAATCAAAAGTTCTCTCTTCATTTGGAATGATAATCAATTGTAGGGGCTTGTGCCTATGTGAAACCTGGAAGTAAGTTTTAAGGTTCTGAAAAATGAGAGTTAAATCTTTAGGTAGTTGATAGGTCGATTCACCCTGAATTGGCCCAGGAGCCGGCCCAGCAGTCGGCTCATGTTTATAGGAGGCAGAAAAAGGGGGGGTTCGCCTCCTTTATTGTTGCCGCCTATTTGGAGCAATGGGGAGAGGGGGTTTTGAGAGGCTAGTTTTAGAGGGAAAATTTGAATGAGAGAGGTTTGAATTAGTATTTTTGGCTCTAGATTGCTTTGTCTAGAGATTTGGGAGAGAACGATCCTCCTCTCGAATTGAGGATCACTTGTATCTTGCTTCGCCTTTGTTTGGCTTTGATTCTCTTATTGCAATCCATCGTTTGGGGCTATTTTTCCACCTAGATTTTGCATTATTCTCGCCGTTTTCACCAATTAGTGATAGGTTTGCTTGCGAACTCAAGTATTTCTATCAAATTGGTATCAGAGCGTCATCTTGGGACCAACGACGGCTGAAAGTCTGAAATTTCAGCGATTTTTTCGCATCCGGAAGCTCTCTTGAGATTCTTGGGAAGAAAAATGGCCGGAAAGAAAGTCGAAGTGTTGGAAGGTGAAATCGGGCAATTAAAATCAGATTTGGAGGAAAAATTCTTTGATCAATAGTGTCTTATCTATAATCCAATTCGTCTTTTAAAAATGTTATACTAAACACCCAAACTCTTTCAGCTGAGCTAGGCTGTGAATTTTACTTTATATTAGAATCATATTGATGAATAATTATTAATATCTCACCTCCAAAATTATAAATTATATACTTAATCTTTGTTTTACTAATTCTAGTTTATCTATATTCTAAATATTTATTTACCATTATGCTAACTATTCACTTATTTCAGCAGATAAATCATTGATTAAAATTATGCCTTTTGTGAAAAGCATGCACCAATGCAACTAACTTTGAATTATTCTTTTTTAACTAATACAAAAATATATGAACTTAGTACTTATCTTGAATATAATTTTACTCTTACTGAGAACAACACTTTGGCCACTCCATAATGTTCTTTTTTAGAAATCTCTAATAGTTTCATCTTGCTTTTGACACGCATGTTTATTCCTTATCATAATGTGAGTTCATGGAGCGCCTAATCTTGACAATTTTGGGGGTTTTATAGCGATTTTAAGAGGCAGATTGATTAACCAAAATTTTCATGTGATTTAGGGTTTGTTTAGATATGGGGTTGATACTTGCTTGCATACATGTCCCTATAGTTACTTATCCATTTTTGTATATAGAGGATAACTCTCGATTTAGGAGTTCACTTAGGTTCAATTTTGAGCTTGAATTTGGTTAAGAAATGCACATGGTTGTAGTGATGGAGTTAAAACGATCAGAAATGATGACTTCTCAAGAACAACCCAGCCATCTCCTGGAATTTTACATTGCAAGATTGGTAGGGTTAATTCATAAGTGCAGAACAGTTGGTCCGAGAATTTTGTAAATAATGCATGGCCAAATTCATGTGAACAAAACCTTCTATTCCTAGAATATTTTATAAGACAAGCAGGCCAAAAAGGTGAATTCACAAGTATAGGCTTGTTGCTCTGATTCCCCATGGTTACTTTCAAAGCTGTTGTTCCATCCTTTTGGCTGTAATCTCTCTTCAGGGATACTTACCAGTGTTTAATGTTGTGAACTCAATGGTATTAGCACTTCTTGTTTTTCTTGTGTAAAGCATATATATATATACTCCAAAATCTCAAGGAGCTTTTAGATGAAATTTGGGTCTAAGATGATGGTCCAGGCTGGTTAAATCTTGTTAGGGAACCTATTGGCGTTTTAACTCCAGCCACACTGGGTAAAAGTAATTAGTCTTTGATAGATGAATTAGGCATTGAATTTCTAATCAAATTTTCTTACCAATAATTAAATGGCCCTTCCATTCATCTTCCTTTTTTTTTTAACTTATGCTTTGATTCTCATAATCTTCATTTTGCTTGTGTCCAACTGGGATCAGCTTTCTGAATATTTTATTTCCATTATTTACTGTTGAATTTTCTTTTCATACAAGCATATGTTATGTTCGCTTTTTTCTTTGTTGGTTATCAGCTTTACGAATATTTTGTTCCATCAGTTACTATGAAAATTTTCTTTTGTACTAGCATGCGGAATTCTATTAGCATTATTTCTTCTAACATGCATTCTGAAAATATTACAGGTTGATGACCTAGAATTTTTGAAGGATTCTGGTGTAAATACAGTGAAGGTTTGTTTCAGAACTAAGTTAGTGGTGATCACTTTTCTCATTATTAACCTGAAACATTAATAAGCAAGGGCTGGTTGTGAGCTATTTCACAGCTCAATGTTTGAATTCTAGATTTCTTCTATGAAGGAGACGGTTTATAATTTATTGGGCTATTCTCATCTTCTGCAAATAAAAATCTTGATGAAAATAAATCCTCCAGCTTCTGATGACAAAGATTGTTGACCTGGATGATTTGAAATGTTTTTATGTTTATTAATTGCATCTGTTCTTCTTTTCAGGACTTTAGTGGTCTCAGTTATGGATTACTGCAATGTGCTATTTCCCATGTTTGATTGGATTTCCTCAACCGTATTGCAGGTTGCCAAAGCATTAATTGAAGCCTTTGCTGAAATGATATTTGTTCACGGCTTTGTGCACGGAGATCCTCACCCAGGCAACATTTTAGTTTCTGTGGAAGGAAATAAGAGTTTCTCACTAGGTAACTCACTGATTTTAAGCCAAAAGTTAAATTTCCAGAAATCTTCATTAATTATGACATTACATTTTGATTTCCTTTAAAGTACAGTCCTATTAGATCATGGAATCTATAGAGAACTGGATGAACAATTCAGGTTGGACTACTGCAAATTATGGAAAGCTTTAATCCTTCTGGATTCTCAGAATATAATTAATGTTGGGAAAAGGTTTGGTGTTGGCAAATACTCAAAATACTTCCCTGTAATTTTCACTGGCAGAACTTTAGAAAGGTAAAAATGACTTTTTTCTTATTTTGACAAAATGTTCATCCTATTTTGATATGTTGAATTTTATTCTTTCCATGAAAATTGTGCTTGTTCTTTAAAAAAATTATTTTATTTATTTTATTTTATTTTGTTGAAGGAGATGGAATTACCTAACCATGCATGCTTAAATGGTATGTTTGTATTCACTTTGGTTCTCATATTAGTTGCACATGAATGGTGAAATGACAGCATAGAAGATATTATTTTTAGAAAATTAATATCTATATAATTAGTTAAATATGTTTATTTTGTTGTACACTAGCATATTATATCTATTTCTTTATTTATAATAGAGGGATACAGTGAAATCCTTTTCCCTCAATATGGTATTAGAGTAGGTTCCCTTTTAGCTGACCACCCCCTTCCATACCACCACGCACAAAAAAAGGAAAAAAAAAAAAAAAAATCTACCCAACCCCATGCCTTTTCATTTTTCCTTGCTCGTGACCTTATCCCAATGGCACCTTCCTATTATGTTGCTTCGTTGCGCTCAACTTTATCCTCCACCCCAGTCTCTATGTGCATTACAACGCTCGACCTCCGCTCTTCAATTCATCAGCCTAACGACAAGCTAGATTTGGTCATAAACCTTCCTTGCGATCCTTAATCCAACCTTGATCCTTGATTTCACAAGTTGTCTCTTCTCTCTTCTCGTGATATCCCTTGCGATCATTGCTACCCTCACGCTACAATGCTCATTGTGTCTGAACTCACTTTGTAATTGGCACTCCCAAACCTAATATAGCCCTTATACAATGGCAAATCACATTAAGTTGTGGTGCAGCATGTGGGGAGAACTTTGTGACCTCTTAAAAATTGCACCCTAGCTCTATCGAGCGAGTTTTGGTAGTTTCGGGCTAAATTTTAGAAAGACATTTTATTGAAGATAAGATACTACCCAGAGAATTTTCCCTATGCTTAGTTATTTCTCTTAGTGATGAGAGAGAACTTTCGATCATAACTAGTTGCAACAAATTGCCTAAGAATTGCAAATTTGTGATACACTTTGGTATCAAAAATAGCCAAGGAACCCTAATAAATTCAGCAAACAACAGATTTTTATTGATAACAAGAAAATAAAAACAAGCAAGATACAACAATCCTCTTTCGAGAGGAGGATCTTCTCTCCCAAACCCTAAGCATCATTAGAATCTCTCACAAAGCAGTAGACAACAAGACTCCAAATAAAATTTTGCATATAAAACATAACATAAACCTACTACTTATAGCAAACAATAAACAAAAATACTAAAACAGTTCTCAAATCAACCCCCAAATCTATTCTCTTTAATTAAGAAACATCTCCTAATTAACCCTCTCCAAATCATCCCCCAAATTTGTTCTCTTTGATTAGGAAATATTTTCTTAATTAATTACCTCCAAATCATCTCCCTTTCCTAATATATTTCCATCTTCCAATTTGAATTTCAATTAGAAAATATTTTCTAAATGATCCATTCCTAATTCCTCTTCTCACATAATGAAATGTTTTACTGGGTCCCACAACAAGAGCCAAAATCTGACCAGGTTCAACCTCCCCAAGGGCTATCAATGTATCAATACTTCCCCCCCCCCCCCTCCCTCCCAAACCCCCCCCCTCCTCCTTCCAAAAAAAAAAAAAGTATCTCCTTATCCTCAAAGTGGAATGAAGGGAATTACCGTTGAATAATCTGGTAGGACTCCCATGTGGCCTCATGCTTTGGTGGGTCCTTCCACCCAAACAACACTCTTTGCTTCCATAGTTCCATGTACTCCCTGTCGCACTTCCTTGACCTCCAATGGTTCCAATAACACATCTATGTCGTCCGTCTAGATCGGGGAAGTGAAGAAGATGAAATATGCTCTCATATCACCTGTCGTAATTGGGACGCATGAAATATCAGGTAGATGGCTGACGACGGTGATAGCTGTAGGCGATATGCCACGACCCCAATGCATTCCGCTACCTCGTATGGAACAAAGTATCGGGGTTATAACTTCTCATTCCATCTTCGTGCCAGGGTTTTTAGTATGTAGGGACGAAGCTTTAAGTAAACCATATCCCCTACCTCAAATTGAATGTCCCTCTCATGTGCATTTGCCTTCTTCTTTATAATTTTTTGAGCTATGAACAAATGCCCCTTCAGTTCCCCTATGATCCCGTCTCTGTCTTCCAAGTATTGTTCTATCGAAGCCACCAGTATGCCGCCTTGCCCATAATAAATCAAGTGAGGTAGATCTTATTTATATAACACCTTGAACGGTGTAGTATGCGTTGTCGAATGATAGGATGCGCTATACCTATATTTAGCCCAAGCCAACCATTTTACCAACAACTTGGGTGTATCTGATATGAAACACCGCAGATAAGTCTCCACACTATGATTGACCACCTCAGTCTGTCTATCCATCTGAGGATGATAAGCAGTACTTCTTTTCAGAACAATCCCTTGCATTTTAAACAATTCCGTCCAGAACTTGCTCAAAAAGATTTTGTGTTTATCTAATACAATCTATTCTGGGATCCCATGTAGTCTCACTACCTCCATGAAAATCATGTCTATTGTTACTATTTTATAGGGATGGCGAAGGGGAATGACATAAGCATACTTACTCAATCGATCTACTACCACCAGTATCGTAGTGTATCCTTCTAACTTTGGCAACCTTTCGATGAAGTTAATGGTCACCTCCTTCCATACCTTTTCTGGCAGAGCTGATGGCTGGAGGAGCCCTCCTGGAGACATGGCTAAATACTTGTGCCCTGGCAAATATCACGGCTTGTCACCACCTTCTCGACATCCTTCTGCATACTTTTCCAATACAACTCTGTAAAGAGCCAATGATATGTCTTTTTGTCCCTTGAATGCCCCCTAATGGCCATTCCATGATACTCCTGAAGAAAGCAGGGAATGTAAGAAGAGGCCTTGGGAAGCACGAATCTCCACTGATGAAGCAACTTATGTCCCACCACTGAATATCTTGGATGACTGTCTTTGTTTCCTTCCAGCTCCTCCCTAATTTTTCTAAACCTTGCATCATGTTCGCTCTCTGTTCTCAGTTCTTCCTAGTGAACAACCAAGGGCACAAATAATGTCATCATCTATGCTTCTCCCATGCATCTGGATAATCTATTTGTTGCTTTGTTTTCCACTCCGGGTCGATACTGAATCTCGAAGTCATAGCCCAATAACTTGGAAAGCCACCTTTAATGCTCCTCAGTGACCATCCGCTAATCCAACAAATACTTCAAGCTTCTCTGGTCAGTTATGACTATGAAATGTATTCCTAATAGATATGGCCGTCATTTATGAATGGTCAGCACAATCGCCATTAGCTCCCTCTCGTAGACTAACTTGAGCCTTGCTCAGGTCATCAACACCTGACTGAAATAGGCCACTGGCCTCTGGTTCTGTATGGGTTCCGCTCCTAATCCAAAACTTGAGGCATCCGTCTCCATTATAAAAGGCTAGTTGAAATCTAGAACAACTAATATGGGCACACTGGTCAAAGCTTTCTTCAACTCCTCAAAGGCCTGGATGGCTGCCTCTCCCCACTTGAAGTTGTCCTTCTTGAGTTGCTCCGGTAACGGCCATGCTACGGAACTTTATCATTTCACAAATTTTTGGCAGGAATATGTGAGTCCCAAGAACCCTCTTAGTTCCTTTAAGTTCTTGGGTATGGGCCATCTGAGCATGGCCTCAATCTTACTTTGGTTAGCTGCCACTCCCTCTTGAGATACCACATGCCCTAGATACTCCACTCTGGGTTGGGCGAAACAACACTTCTTCTAATTGACAAACAATGTGTGCTCTCTTAAGGTGGACAATACAACTCCCAAATGCTCCAAGACCTTTCAGATCTGCTATATACCAAATTATTGTTAAAAAAACACCAGCGAAAACCTTCGTTATAAGGCTGGAACACCCTGTTCATAGAGACTGGAAAGTGCTCGGGGCATTAGTGAGGCTAAAAGGCATTACCAAGAACTCATAGTGTCCCTTGTATGTTTGAAAGGCTATTTTGTGGGTGTCTCCTGTCTGCATTCTGATCTGGTGGTATTTGGATTTCAAATCGATCTTAGAAAATATCACAGATCCGAGCAACTCATCTAACAGCTCATCAATTACTGGTATGAGAAACTTATCTGGTACAGTTTTCTTATTCAGGGCATGATAGTCTACACAGAAGCTCTAACTCCCATTCTTTTGGGCTTGAGAATGGGCTCACACTAGGCTTGATGATTCCATCTTAAATCATCTCTTGAATTAGTCTCTTAATCTCATCCTTCTGGACCTAAGGGTAGCAGTAAAGTCGAGCACTAATGGGGGAGACTCCTTCAGAACAATAGAGTGCTCGTGCTCTCGAGGGGGTGGAAATCCCTGGGGAAGCTGGAATACATCCCTGTACTATTGGAGAAGTGGTTGAACCATGTCTAAAATGTCCTCTACATTCTTTGTCTCACCTCTCTCCAAACACTGGAGCTCTACAAAAAATCCCTCTCCTTCCCTGTGTAGTGCACAAACCAGGGTTTTCAAAGAAACTATGGCTTTGGATAAGCTGGGGCTTCCCCTTATTACCATTTTTCTCCCCTCCACCTGGATCTCCATAGCTAATGCCTTCCAGTTTACCTTGGTTTCCCCTAAGTTTTGTAGCCACTTCATTCCCAGAATCAAATTAGTGCTAAATTCCAAGGGAAGAAAATCCTCCTTGTTGTGAATCCTCGACAGCTCCACCACTAAACTCTAACATCCCCCTTTGCTCTTCTCTACCTTTCTTATGCCATCATCACTCTGAAACTTCTTGTGTATACTAGCTCTAGCCTTAGTGTGAAACCCCTTAAGTAAAATAAGCTAAACTCTTAAACATCAAGGCGCATTTTGGTGTAATGTTTAAAATCTTATTAAGAAACTCCACAGTTAAGCGTGCTCATCCCAGAGAAATTTTGGGATGGGTGAACTCCTGGGAAATTACACCAACGTGAT